GACGCAGATAACAGTATGGTGATTACCTGAGGAAAAGGGTATAGGGGGATAAATAGTGATGGAAGGAGAATTGACTTGGAGTGGTGAACACACAGTACAATTTACAGATACTCTATACTAATAAAAGGGTAATATGCTAATTAGATCAGATAGACTGGTTGTCTTCCAGACGTCATTCTGGATGTCCTTCCTGACAAAGCTGGGGCCCGGGCGGCACCGCCTGGGATCCCGGGTGCCTACACCGGCCCAGGCGAAGCCGGCCTAGGTCGTGGGTGCCTGTGGCTGGCCAGAAGGAGGGAAACCCGGGTCCCAGGTGCGGGGGCCAAAGCAGAGGCAGTTAGGGGTGATAGGCAGGCAGGCAAGTGGTTAGGCATGATCAGGCAGGCAGCCGAGTGGTTAGGGGCTATCAGGCAGGCAGGCAGAGTGGTTAGGGGTGATCAGGTAGGCAGGCGAGTGGTTAGGAGCCTGTGGTCCCAGATTGACTTGAAACTATATAAAATTCACATAGGCATCAGATTTGTCAAATTCTAAGCTACTTGGATCTGTAGTAATGGGGAATATATAAGAATATGATGAACCTGAGAGAGGTGGGATCGAGCTTCCACTTGCTCCTCCCGCTCCCCCTAATATTTGAGTCTTCAGCATAATATATGGTTAAGAGTTCCAGATCAGAAATCAGACTGCCTGGGTCGGAATCCACTCTGTCATTTATAAATTACGAGACCCTGAGAGATTCTCTTTTCATCTGAAATGAAAATGATGATTGTCTCTAACTTTTTGAGTTACTGTGAGAAGTAATCAAGGGAATACTTATAAAGCATTTTGGGTGACTACTTAGAATTTAGATGAATGCTCAAAAAAAGCCAACTGCTATCAGCACTACCACTCTCATCTTTATCTCCATTATTATTATCAGCAACATCAACATCCATCACCGTAATGCTGCTATTACTGTTCCCATTCCCAAGAATGTTCTGGGCCAGTTAACCTCTCTGAGTCTCTGTTTATGAAAATCTGTAAACTGATCCAGTTGAACTAGATGATCTCTAAGTTTTCTTAGGGCACAGTCTCTGCCTTTCTTGAAATGTGGCCTCTTTTCAGCTGGATCAGATCTCTAGATTCTAAATGCCACTCTGAGCCACCCTAGTTAAATAGCAGACCGCTGCCAGGAACCCTCCCAGCTGTTGCCTGTCATTCTGAACACCTACACTACATGCCGGGCTCTGCCCTTTTTGTGCAAAAACCAATCAGCCAGTCAATTCAACACACTTTGGTATCACAAGTCTGTATTCCCCAGATTTTCCACTCATAGACTGTGATCTTGGGAAATTTAGTTAATATTTCTGAACCCATTTCTTGGTTTTCTCTCTCTTTTTCAATTAATAAAATAATATATAAAATGATATAACCCATATTGAATATAGCATATATCATTCATTTATTTATTTGGAAAGACTTTTAGTTATGATTCACCCCTCTTTTGTATCCTTCCCCAGTACCTTTCCTCCCTCCCAGTATCATTACCCTGAAGTTGGCTATATGCATCCTCAGTGATTGTGTGTCTAAATTTTATTGTGCATACATATATGTATAATAAACATATACATATATGAACATTAACATATATAAACTTGTTTTATGGGTGTTTAAATTTTGACATCGGTGAAATCCCATTCTGTTTCATTTGGGGTCAATATATCATTTTTCTTTTTACTGCCATGCAAATTGCACTTGTGTCATTCCTTTGTTTAGAAGTTTTACCTTCCTTTTCTATTCCTTTAATGATGAATTTTTAAAATTCTTAATATGTAATGGTAATTAATAGCTCTATCCTTCACTTGAATAATACAGGAATCTTCGCGTGTTTAACTTCAAATTACTCTTGCCTGCTTTTTATCTAGATTTGTTGTATATAGTTCCATATGATTGGTAAATCCTCAAATATTAGTCACTATTATTGATATATTTTTTCAGACCCTACTTAGATTTAGTAACTTGGTTTACTTATTATAGCAGGTCTTCCAACAATGTGCTTAATTATAATGCTGAGATGCCTAGAAACTTAACTCTTGTGCATATTAGTTATCCTGTGATAAAATTGGTTTCATTACATGTTGTTTTGCCACAGTCTGAAGAACCTATTAACAATATTTATTAAGTGAGAACTTACTGTAGTTTTTGCACTATTGCTTACATTCAACTTATTTCTTTTGAGTTCAGAGATGATCTATTTATGCTTTTTGCCTTTGCCTAAATGTGAATGAGCATTGGGTTATGCATAAAAATCTAGGTTAGATTTACTTTTTCTCAGAATCTTAAATATTATTCCATTGTCTTCCAGTATCCATAGTCTCTAGAATCAGTCAGTCATTATAAGTAATGTCTTTTTTGGAGCGGGGGGAAGGTAGGTGTCTATCTCTGATATCCTTCATTTTTACTATAATCTAAGTGAAGATATGTTTTACTTTATTTCATATGACTCTATATGTCCCTTTCTTCTGAGAATGCAATTTTCCTCAATTCACAGCATTGTCTCTGCCCCCCCCCCCCCAGTTCCTCTTTTCTTTCTTTTGGTTTCATCTCCTTATCCTCCCATCCTTGCCTTCTTATTTCAGGTTTATAGGTTCTTCTTATTATTCTGTGCTGCTTTTGTAATGGAATCTAGGTACACTCTCTCATATCCATCAAGAAATTCTCTGCTTCTCTCTTTAATTGTATCAAGTCTTAAATTCAGTCTATACATTGAGTGGGTTCCTGTAATTACTTAAAATATTTTTAGACTATCTGCTTGGCACACTACAGTGGTTAGGACTGTGAGCACTAAATAAACCTTCC